AAAAAAAAAAAAAAAAGAGCTTAAACTGTTTTAATAACACACAGTTATTTAAAATGTTATGGCCAAACATTCGGTCACTACCTGAATATTTCTTTAACCTTGAAGTGTTCGGTGGAATGTGTATCAAAACAGGAATGAACGCAGAAAAGAAAGTAAAAGTCTGCGTTACGGAGCCTTTGCACCTTGCAGACATGCTGCAGACGATTGCACGACCACAACGACAAACAAAAGAAACGGAACAGGCAGACTCTACGTTTTCAGAGCAAGTTTAACACCTGGAATTTGACACCCTGTGTTGTTGCCCAGTGCAAAGAAGCAATAACTGAGAGGCCTGACAACAATTAAGCTGACAGGGTGTGTTTAAAAGGGACCAGAATTTATATGGTCAGGTGACACAAGAGCCAGAGGTGTAATGTGTTACAAGCCTGGACTGTCTTCACATTTAGTTCAAGAAGTGAACACAACAGAAGCACAAGCTGACTTTAACTAATTTCTTGACAAATTATTTCCTGAAGCACTATTCAGAAAAAAGAAAGAAAGAAAAGAAAACAGCCAGTCCATGTAAGCAATTCTGTCTCTTAGATAAGAGAAAGGAATCCACACTTACCGCGGTATGGCCTCTGACAGATGTTGTCTTGGGATTCTCCTCTTACCCAAGTGTCATTAGTTTCCCGACTGAGCGCTACTTTGCCGTTGTTGACCGCCAGGCCCATCTGATAAACGGTGTAAACAACTCCATCCAAACAGCTCCACCATAGCAGGATGTTGGAGCCACAGTCGAACATAGTCAACATCTTGGAATTGACGTCCAGCGCCATGCAGAGCGATGTTCCCACATGGAAGAGCCGTTGACCTGAACCCCACTTCCACTGTTGGGACTTGCTGTTTGAGTTGCAGGTGGCGAGGCTCAGGTTTGCTGAACCCCATGCACTCAGGCATTTCCCTGTGCTCTGGTGCTGAATGGTGAAAGCATCCTCATCTGTGATGACAGGACAGAAAACACAAGTTTAAAGGGGACTTATTACGCTTAGCTTTGCACTTTTAATCCCCAGACGGTGCTAGAGTAGCTTGGCATGAGCCACAGTTCAAAAATAATCATCATTTATCTTCCTCTGAGTTCATTCCACTTCTCAAACAATCCATTTCAACGCCCCCTCAACTCCCTTTAAGGCAGCCTTGCTCTGATCGGCTGCCCCTCATCGCTACTGTGTTCCCACACTGTCACCAGTTCTCAGACATAATTAAAGTGAAGATGTTTGCAGCTCTTTATCCTCATTTTTGAACTTAATTCTAGAGTAGCTTTGCATGACTCAGCACAAAATAAAACCTGAAGCCTCTCTAAGCCAACTTTATTCTGATTGGCTGACACTTGTAAAAAAAAAGGTCCGGAAAGCACCTTTAACGAGTTGGATTCCATTCCTTGCATGGAAGTTAACTTACATGTTCATTGTGTCTCACTAAATTTTAACAGCTGTAACAAAAACTTTATTATTTATTCATTTATTTAATCGGGACGTCCCTCGAGATTAACATCTCTTTTTCAAAGGAGACCAAGCCTTTGAACCAGTCTGAAGCGTGACACTTTAGCTCACAGGTTTTAATTGCACACAGGCAGACCTCACCGTTTCAAACTTTGACCTTGTTTCCATGATTAATGTGGGCACGCACCACTTAGAGATCTGAGACTGACACATAAAAAAATGCTATTTAAAAAAAATTATATATGCAGTGTAAATGTATACCAATACAGCTCTATTAGAGTGAAACTACTCGTTTAAATGAATACATAATAAATATATATACACAAATATCCCCGCACCGAGAATTATTCATTTGACTTCATAAAAGAGTTTCATATTTATGCTGAGAGAGGGGAACTATAAAAGAGGACAGTAGGCGGGGACAAGGTGATCTGGGTAAATGTTTACAGGCTGAAGCTAAAGAACAACTGAGCAGGAATACTATCAGAGTACAGTTTCGACTTGGTGTCACGGCAGTAATATGCCGATATTTTGGCTCTACGGAGCTGCTCGGGAGGGAGGGAAGGATGAGTTAGCGATTTCTTTGACCTGTCAGACATAACACTGGGGGGCAAGAAAACAACAAAAAACAAAACAAGCAAACAAAGTAAAAATAATAATAATAAACAAGCATTCATCTAGATAAGCAAACGCCGAGTTTGTATCTCAATCCAAAATCTTGTCAGTTAAAAGTGTTTCGCATCCTAAAAATTAGGTTCGCGCTTTTATGGGAGAAGTTTTTGCTCCTTTGCGCCAAGTGAGGAATGAAGACGCGACTTTAATGAGAGTGTGACAAGTGAACAGAAATGAAAGCAAAGTGTCGGATCTACTCACCTAAACCTGCAGCTGGTGAACCAGTTCCCCAGTGAACAGCTGCCTCCAACAATATCAACAAACAAAGACAAAGAGGCGCTCTGGATAGACTCGGCATGGTCACGACCGAGTCTTTCTGTTATAATCATAAAGCCTCCTCTGAGCGTGGCGCACTTAGTTTAGGCCGGTTGATAACTGAGCTCCAAAGCGAAAGTGATCGCCGACGCCACCCAGTTCTCCCAGTTGAAAGTCTTGTCATCCACTGAGTCCAAGTCAATTTAGCAACAAACTTCCGCTTAACGAATAAAACAACAGCAACGAGAAACCTTTCAGAGGGAGAGCGTTATGAAATAAATAGCTGCTACGCACGATGGATCAGACTAGCAGACACTACAGGCGCATGCAGAAGGACTCTAATAGAAGTCAAAATTATATATTAAATCTATTTGCAAAACCACATCCACATAAAATAAAATATTACAGCTCAGGCCCATTTTTATGCAATAATTGAAACCCCAAGTCAAATTTGAATTTTTTTAATTTTTTTTTTTTTTACCAAAATCAGTATTATCAGATACAATTAAAAAAATATTAGAACACATTTACATTTAAAAACATATCAAATTACGAGTTTAAAAATGATATTAGGCTATCCCATTTGAGAAACTTTAAATAAAAAATAAAAATAGGACAAAGGAGTAAAACATGTTCCAGAATTATGTTAGAAATTTAAATACTTAGCCAAAAATCAGATATTTTTAAATTACTGTGTTGTAAAAAAAAAAAAAAAAACCTAAAGAAAAAAGTTGACGTAGTCAACCGTTAAATTTTAATTTGGAAGGTTGTAACGTTCTTCTTCCGGTTTCGCCCTCAAGTACCGTGAACTTTCTGGTTATTTTCTGGCGTCTTCCTTTCACATACCCTGCCCAGAAAGGTATTTTACCCGGTTTACTTCGCACCCACTCGGTTGTTTCCCTGAATAATCGGGCTTTCGGGTGTTTTTTCATCTACTGTGAAAGTCCCGTGACAGCTAACAGCTGATCACCTGTCCTTTCATTTCTGTTTATTCTCTATTATTTCACCAGCTTCGTTACCGATAATTACTGCACACACACCGAGATGTTTGTGCGTTTTACAGAGATCAACAAAACACCGGGTGATTATTAAATTATTACTTAAAGGGCACCATGTCAGGAAAAAAGTTTGCCCTCAGGACAGTGAAGAAATTTATCAAGAAATTGTTTCAGGGTGAGATCATAAAACATAACAGATAACATTCAAGGGAAACCGATAGGCACGAATGGTTTCCTTTGATAATAAAAAAGGACAATGACCTTTATGGCCCTACATCATTACTATATCAATAACATTATTCCCCAGGCAGTATGTAAGGACTCTGATCTCTGTCCCTCACGTCAGTCTAAGTTTTTAGATTTCTTTCTGGTAAAAATAGTAATGCCCAAAAGACAAAACATAGTTAAATACGAGATGCACAACCTCACTGTGGTTTCTGCTGGCATCTTTTAAGTTGGCCGTCTAAGAGGAAGTGTGGGTTTAAGGTGATGAAGCAAAGAAAATAACACCAGGCAAATTGAAAGTACAGTAAGTAATAATGAAACTAACAGAAACCATTCAACCAAATTCGATTTATTAAAATACAAATAAAACTGTGCAAAACATATATACCTCTGTGTTCTTTTCGTCAGCAGCCAGAACCAAGCAAATCCATTCAGTCCCAGTACTTATTTGGTCATGACCAACATACAGCATGTACACATGAGAGAATAAAAAATGACAAAATAAGTAATACTGACAAAATACTGTACCATGCATACAGACCCATCAACAGAAGTCTGAATGAACAAAGCATCATTGTAAAGAATATTTTATCATGAATCGTACTCATGCTTGACAATGAAAGTGACTTTTTGCCCTGAAAAGAAGCCCAAGAGCATGTCTTAAATTATTCTCCTTAACACTGTTTACAAATCATAACAGAATAAATCCCGGATGACATCAAACGGAACCTCTTCAAACAAGTCCAAAGCTCTTTAGCGTCCCTTCTTGGTCTGTGTGATCTCTTAGTCCGTGGCCTTCAAGTGTCTTTGCAAGTGTTTGGTGACCTAAATGGTGCGAGTAAATGAAAACTAGAGACGCGCTCGAAACTGCTTGCCGTCATCATCTCACCACTGTCCTGAGGAGTCAGCATCACAGTTTTACAGTGCAGCGCGGCATCCGCAGCTGACGGTGACAAGGTGACGGAGCACGGGAGGACAGCAGAGGCTTCGAGGAAGAAACAAGTCAACTCGTGCTACTCTCCCGAGGGAGGCTCCAGGTCTGCGATGAGAACGTTTCCATCTGACTCCGTAGCCTGCGAGTCCGTTTGCCTGAAATAAGCGCTGCCGAGCGTGGGGAGCCGCTGGAAACGTCCGGAGCTCCTCTTGTACAGAAACCACATTACCCCTGCCAGCAGGATAAAGATTAGCAACGCTGCCAGCACAGCAGCGGGGATGACACCGTGATGCAAACCTGAAACGCACAACAGCAGCTCTTATGTAGTCGTGCTCTAAATATAATGTGTGAACCTCTTATTAAATAGCATGCAAAGGGCTTAAACACTGCAGCAGGAATCGCGGTCAGCATGTTTAGCCACATATTTGAGCTTCCAGCTGAACGCGGCCCTGCAACATGAAACAGCGTCCTCACACATATCAAACCTACGGAAAAACATTCAATGTTTTTAAGTTATTTAGCTTGAAATGCACTTTACCATTCAGCGGTTTCACTTCCACCTCAGTATTGCCATCTGGAAAAGAAATGCACAACCGTTTTGAACTCATCAGGTGAGAATATGCAGCAAAGATCAATAAATAGGAAAAGTTTATGCTTTCAAATGTTATGTTACGGTGCAGCAACAATTATCAAAAGAATCAATATGAACATTTGATTTATTTTAGGTCTCAATAATGATTTCTAACCATTTCAATAGAGCTAAATATATAAAACAAACAGACAAACAAAGAAACCTGTGAATCCACCACAATGAACCAGTAAATACAAGTCAGGAGGGATTTAAGCTTTTATGTTGTTTAGTCCATGGTATGACCTCAACATCCAAATGCTGCTGCAGAAATTGAGAGTCATCAGACCAAGCAACATTTTTCCTATTTTCTAACGTCTAATTTTGGTGAACCTGCGCAAACTGTAGCCTGACAGGCGTGGCACCTGGTGTGGTCTTCTGCTGCTGTAACCCATTGTTGTGTATTCAGAGATGTGCTTGTAACCTGTGGTTATTTGACTTACTGTTGCCTTTTTATAAGTTTGAACAAGTCTGACTACCCTTCTCTGACCTCTGACATCGACAGAGTTTTTCAGTAAGCAAGACTCTGTTAGTCTCATAAGAAAGGACTTAGGCCCACTCTCAGCTAATGTACACGCCCATGTAAAAAATCTTGGTTTCATTTTCGATTCTACCCTCAAGCTGGACAAACAAATAAACTCAGTTGTTTGTGGCAGTTTTTTCCAACTCAGGAGCATTTCTAAACTCAAAAATATCTTGTCATCTAAAGATCTGGAAACCGTTATCCATGTCTTCATATGGTCACGTCTTGACTACTGTAACTCTCTCTATTTAGGCATCTGTCACTCAAGCCTGTCCCGCCTGCAACTTGTTCAAAATGCAGCCACAAAGCTCCTGAGGGGTACCAGAAAGAGAGAGAGTATTACTCTGATACTCGCATCTTTACATTGGCTGCCAGTTAAATATAGAGTTGATTTCAAGGTTTTATTATTTGTTTTTAAAGCCCACCAAGCTTGGCTCCAGGTTAGATTTCTGATCTCCTTAGCCTGCACCTACCCACTCAAACTCTGCGCTCCTCCAGTCAGATGTTTTTACTGCTTCCACTCTCCCAGTTAATATCTAGAGGTGACAAGGCTTTCTCCATTGCCGCTCCTAGGCTCTGAAACAGTCTTTCCTCTTTCAAAAAATCCTCTTCCTCTTTGGAAATCTTCAAATCAAATTTAAAGACCTATCTATTTCCAAAGGCTTTTGGATCTCTTTGACACCTCATTTATTCTGTTTTAGCTATTCTCATCTTTTATCTCATTGGACGATGTATGCATGTGTATATGTAATCATGTATTTTATGTTCACGTATGTGTGCTTGTGTGTGAATGTGTGTGTATGTGTACACTTTTGTATATGCATGTGCATATGTACACATACATGTATATTTCTACAAAGTATATATAAGAGTCTGCCTGTGTGTGTATATATGGATGTGTTACAATGTATCCCAAACTATCCTGCCTTCCCTGTTTTGAAGTTTGACTTGTCCACGTTGAGAGCATAAAAATGAGCTGCAAACACAGATGAGCATGGATGGATGGATTTCCAAGAGAAAGCAAAATACTTCACCAAATAGTTGCTTGCTTGATTTGTGTTCAGAAGGAGCTGTTTGGCTGCTCTACTGTTTTCACCCAAAACACTGAAAACTGGCTGTCAGTCGGAAAACCAAAACACTGAGCTGAAAGATGTAGAAATAATATTTAGAGTTTGATTCAAATCTTCCTCCAGCAGAGTGAACAAGGAGTTTACTTTTATGTCTTGTATCTAATCTTCTCTGTACTCCACTTTTGTTATAATGTCAGTTCTTTTATTTTCTTTGTGACTTAGGTGCAGATTTTGGGAGCCTCTGATTCACGTTACCTGAGATGATTTTGCAGATGAAGCCAAGCCGCTCTGTGCACGGTGTAAAGTGCCAAGTACCATCAACTACCCTAGTAGTGACACAGGAATCCTCAGTCAGCAGCTTGGGGTTTGGACCTTTGTGGGGCCAGTTGGTGTACTCCATTGGTGAACCATCTACCCAGGCCATAGAGTCAGCTAAAAGCAGATTCCTCACTTTAATGACACGACATTGTGTTTATCTGATGGTACAGAAAAGCGACTGACTCTTACTGTCAACATTGAAGTGCATCCCCAACCATAAGGTCTGGGGAAGGAACCTCGATGACCAGAGCTGCTCCATGATGAAACGGTTCTCTGTCTCATCCTCAATGGTCAGGACATCGGAGGTGTTGACTAGTGGGTGACAAAAACAGAAACATGACACACTCACGATAATTAGTGTTGCAAAGGAATGTGAATATGACGAAAATATTTATTTGCTTTCTTACTAAAAGGCAGACGTTTGAATTTAACCTTCATTTTTCAATGCAATATATGAGCAGATACGCTGAGAATGCTAGCCTGACTTAGAAGAGATAGAAGATAGGAAGCAGGGTGAAACAACAACTTGGCTCTGTCCTGTTATAACTGTGAAGTTGGCAGGCGAGAAGAGATGTCTTAAGGAAAAAAATCAAAGAAACTACCAGACAAATAACCCGCCGCAAAAAACAAAACAAAACGCAGCTTAACTTTACACTTTACTTTTTATTGCTGTGGGTGGATGTTATCTTTGCAGAGAGACAGGCCCGTTGTTTCATCCTGCTTCTGAACTTCTTGCCAAGTTCAGCTAAGCTTCATTAATCTAGGTGCTGCATGTGGTCCTACAGTGCTGTGAAAAAGTATCTCCCCCTTTTCTGATTTCGAGATTTTTTGTCAAACTCGGATGTTTCAGATAATCAAGCACATTTTAATATTAGAGAAAGATAACCCGAGTAAACACAAAATGCAGTTTTAAAATGATGGCTTCAGTTATTAAGGGAAAAAAGCTCTTCAGATCTATTTGTCCCTATTTGAAAAAGTAGTTCCTCTCCTTGGTGAATCATGAATGAACTGGGATTAACCACACTTAATTTCACTAGCCACACCCAGGCCTGATTATTGGCAGACCTGTTGAATCAAGAAATCACTTAAATAGAACTTGTCTGACAAAGTAAAGCAGGTTAAAGAAACTCAAAAAGCAACACGTCATGTCACAGTCTGAAAAAACAGCTGAGAAATAAGATAATTTACAGCTATCGGTCTGGAAACATTAACAGATAGCAGCTGCGTTGGTAGTGACTGTAAGTCATATCTGACGAATAGCTTACCTTTATTCCTGCAGTGCTCTCTTGACTTCTCAAAACTACGTTTCTCCGCCACGGACTCAAAGCTGTAACAACCATGTCCAAATTTCACCCATGTGGAGGGACACGCCATCACATTCGCGGTTAACGGTTTATTGCCTGCGAGGGACAGCAGGAGAAGGCAGGAAATGGGTATTTTCACACATTCCGCTGTGAACTACAGAAACCAAAAGCTGAATAGATGCAATGTCGGGTGCACGGATTTTCACTGAAGTAGCACCGACTTGGCTTGGAGGGACTTTGGGGAACATGGCACAGGGCTCCTGGCAGCAGTGTTTCACAGTCAGCTCGCCGCCAGCCTCCATTCACGTCCATGTACACGCACTCGCCGGTCTCAAAGTCGTCATCGTCGTCGGCTGCGTCCCAGTGCGTGTACACTGTGTCGCTGCCATCCGACCACTGATAATTGATGCCGCTCTGTAAGGAAGCACAGTCACAAAGTGTCAGTCATGACTTAACTTTAAATAAGAAGCAACCAAAATGTTCCTGCAATCAGTGCTGACGCTCGCGTGGATAAACTGTCATTAGCGCTGGCTTTCTACCAGTGTGTCAGGTGTATTTCTTCAGCCCAACACCCATTTTATTCTATATTTTACTGCATAAAACCATCTGTTGTGTTATATATTTAAAAATCAAAAAACTTTATTTAAGGAGATATATGTTTCTGAGGAAGCATCTAGCTACTGGTCAATGTATTACTGACTAAAATTTGCTAATTGAATTTAATTCAATTTCTTTATACAACACCAAATCACAACAACAGGCGCTTGAAGGCGCTTTATACTGTAAGGCAGACCCTACAATAAAAATGAGTAGCTGGCTCATCTTTAACATGAGTAATAAAATACATATAATAGAGGAAATCGGCTCCTCACACACACTGTGTTCATTTGTCTCGATGCTCACGATATTTTACAGTGGCTAGGAAGACTGACGGGAAAACACGTGCCCACGAGATCTCTACATGGGCAACACGCCAACAGAAGTCTCACTAAGGAATAAGACAGTGATATCAACTAGAGTGACGTCCTCTAGTAAACGATAATCAAATGCTTTTGCTTCAACTCCGCTAAATCCCACACACCCAGAAACGTCTAAATATCACTTCCCTTTGTCAGCAGAAGTCCACAGCCTCACCTATCAGGAGTCACAAATCAGATCCCATGACACTGAAACAGGTCCCTTTAATCTGATTGTTCAGACTGTTAGAAAGTAGGAAGTTGGCACACAATGCTATCTCAACTGTGTGACAGCAGTACACTATATATACACCAAGGAGGATATATTTTTTTGGTTGTGTTTACATGTGTGAGGCTCATTCTGGTTGTAAACATAACGGTTTGAAAAGTTTTTAATGCATTCTGCTAAAAGGTATGTAGTGTGGGTTCATGTTAAGAAGCTATTAAAGGTTGGCTTCCATCCACCGAAGTCTTCAAGGCCAACTTAATGATTTCTTTAAAACTCACAAAAAGCCTTATAAGTGTGTTGTGTGTAACATATAGAAAGTAGTGCATAAAGATTTAAAATGTCATGTCACACTTGACCTCTGACCTCTCTTTGAGATCAACAGATCAACAGCTTTATGGAGCTATTTAAGACTGTTTCTTACTGCCAATGTTTGTACCGACAACATAGAGGCATACAGAGAATAATGTATGGGGATTCTAAGTATCACGTTTTTGTTTTCCTTCAAATATCATGTTATATTTGATGTCTGATATCACTTTTGCATTTCATGTCTGCCTTTCTTTCAAGCAGATCCCAAGATGCTTTATTTTTTCTGGACTACAAAGATCTTAAAGTACATTTAAAAGGAGCAAGGAAAACAAGGTGAATATATATATATGTACAAAAACAAATACTGTTTACTTAAAAGCAAATACTGTCCACTGAGTGAGCTGCCTTGAGAAAGGTTTGCACTCTGAGTGCTTCGTCTGGTGTAATGTCTTCGGTTTATTGCTTATTATTCTGTTAGTGTGCAGCAATAAGGATGTGCTGTCATTTTGTGTCATCATATGTGGTTGTGCTTTGAGGTTAATACTGATCGTTTCGTTCAGTATTTCATTCTCACTGTTGCTTTCACAACTTGCAACATTTTCATCTGCATGCTTAATGATCTGTAACCTTTTAGTCTTGTCCAAACAAGTGGACTTTTCTGCAAAAAAACAAAGTGTGCAAGGACAAAGTGAGCTTTGCTGGAAAAGATAATAACATTTAAAAAAAAAAAACCACCAAAAAACAACAAATGTAAGTTAATTGAAGTTAAATCTTTGAAGTTTTCCTTCTTAATAACAATTAAATTGAATGCGTTAAATCTGAAGACAGGAGCTTGGTAGAAATGCTTTTTAACAAAAAATGTACTGCATAACTCTGAACTCTTCACACTGAGGTTTTGCAGACACGTGACCACTAACCATGTGGCGCTAACTTGATGTGTGATGTGTGTAGGATCACGTGAAGATGGCCCCAGTCATACAGGCCTAGAGACTGCTGTGTGACAATCTAGTTGCTAGGGAAAAATGTGTATTCCCCAAACAGCTGACAAAAACCTCCTGGTGATTGTGATTTAGCCTTTAGGCTAACCAGGCGCACATAACCAAGAAAGCCGTTTAGGTATCGGAAGCAGTCTGTGTATGTCCAAAAAGAATTTGTTTAAAGATACACACAGTAATATCTCACACAAACACACTACAGAGGTATACAGTACATAACAGATAAGAGGATAGAAGGTACATACGTCTACACTGTACAGTCCAATCCAGTGCGGCGCTCCCAATCTATTGACAAGGAAAGTAAGGAAAGCCTGGTGGTAGGCATCTGTAACGCTCACAAGGTCAGAATCATGGCCTTTGCATTTATTCATCGCGTCGTACCAGCTCAGGTTGCCAGTCACAACTTTGTAGTTGCGGTTCCTGTACTCAATAATTTCTGGGAGAAGGTGGTGATACGAGTGGGTGGGGCGTTTGGATGGATCTGTGACAAGAAAGCAGGGAGGAGTGTGGGGGGAACTCAAGGTTCAGCATGATGGATTAGTTCATACACAGCTAATGGTAAATCGCTAATTAGCTTTGCCATCCATCCATCCATCCATCCATCCATCCAAACCTTCAGAGCAAAAAACCAAAAACCAAAGATAGAGATCCTGAGGGAGCCTTACCTTGAGGTTTCTGACATACAAAGCCATACCCGCTCTCGCTGCACTTCTCGTCGTACCACTTCCCCGTCAGGTGGAAGTTGTGGTTGTTGGACAGGACAGTACACAGAGGCTCATCAGTATATCCTTGGAACCACGTGTCTTCCTGAAAACATAAAGAACCACTACTAAAGAACTACTGACAATAGCACATTTATTAGCATGTGTCACCTCTGTTCACGACAAGCTCGTTTCAGGAACAATGAATCACTACCTCCCAGTTGACTGCCCCAGAATCACCTGATTTTCTTTAATACGATAACTTTAGTATATTTAATAAAGTCAAACAAAATTTTAGACTTAAACTATGAAAATGTCACGACTTGAGCCCAAAAACTGCAATCAAATCAACTTTATTCATACTCCAAGTGTCTAAAGCTAAAGTAATGAGATGAACGAATACATTTTGCACAGCTTTAATGAATTATTCTTTTTTTTTGTATTCTTCTTCTGGCTGCTCCCTTTAGGGCTGCCATCATCTCACTCTTTCCCCTCATCCTCCTCTATCAGACCAGCAGTCTACACGTCTTCTTTCACTACATCTATTGCTCTTTTCTGTGGTTTTCCTCCTTTCCTAATGGCTGGCAGCTCCATATTCAACATCCTTTCTCCGCTATCCTTCCTCTGCACATGCCCAAATCATCTGTGCCTTCCTTCAAATCTCTGCACTGGAAGGGCCAGTTTTACAGCAGTGGGAGGTGCTATTTCTCCTTATCTAATATAAAATGACTGTAACTTGGATGTACTAAGCTCTCACAGGACAAAAAGCAAGGTACTTCCTACATATTCACACAGTCACAAGCTCATATATTAAGAATATGCTAGCAGTTCTAGCAGTTAATAAAGTGAACTTCAGGTATTTTCTACAGCTTACATTGAGAGGGTTCTTTGGTTCTACTGGAGACCAGTTGGTGTAGCTGACTGGCCTCCCATTGGTCCATTTCATGGTGTCCTCATCTCGCAACCCAATCCACACACCTACAGCGCTTCCCTGGAGAAACATGGTGATGAAGGCTACAGAAATGATGACATGACAGGAAAAAAAAGTGGAAATAAAGCTGTTTGTCTTCTCAGGCAGTGATTGTGCAGCGAATCATTGACGCATGGTTGTGCAGTTCACTAAGACTCTACCTTGTTCAATCTCATCTTCTATGGCAACTAGCGAGCCTTGAAAAGAAGAGCAGATGGACTGGGCATCTTTCCAACTCTTTCCCTCTTTTGGACTGGTAGGGAGGTGAAGCAGGAGACACTGCCAACACACACAACCACACACACAAAACATGAATGCAAATCCCAGATCACTGACAGGACTGTTGTTTGGAGTGTGCACGACTCAAAGATACAGAAGTCAAAGCATGTAGGAGGGAGGAGGTAATGTAACCACAATGTTACTGGTTAACAAAAAGGGAAAGTTTCAGCAACAAGAGCTCTGCTTCTTGATTCAATTTGAGAGAAATATGGTCGCGTTACACGAGGAAATGACAGCGTCTCTGTTGTATTTTGAAAGCAGTTAAGGTTTCTCTGACTAAGGAGTTCAAGCCCCATTAACTATGAACCAAAAGGTTGAGTCTCTTTTTTATTATCGTGTTTCTCTCCCTTCTAGTACTGTGCAAAAGTCTTAAGCCACCTCTCATTTTTTTGGAGTTTTCGAGGAAAGTAGGAAATAATTGCAGCAATTTTTTAAATGCATAAACATACATGGAATTACAGCATATAAGGCAAAAAAAATAAGAAAGACAACAATTAGATACTTTCCAGATGGCATTAGATGTTGGATCAAACTCCAACGCTACTTTTCTGCCTTCATAATTGCATTAATTTTGACAACATTCCCAACATCCCCGTCTGAAATCCAGTCCCAAACCACAATAGAGTCTCCACCGTGTTTTACAGATGCCACCAGATGTTACAGATGTTGTACCTCTCCTGATCTTCTGTGTAAACACTGAAATTTGGATTCACTTCATCAGTCCAGTTCTTGTGTAATCTGGCATACCTCAGCCTTTTCTCCATGTTTCCCTTCCTTAGGAATGGCTTCTTGACAGCCACCCTTCCACTGATAACATTTCTGCTGAAGCTTCAGTGAAAAGTAGATGGATGAACTGAAGGGTCAGATGCATCTCTCAGCTCCTGTGTCAAGTCTTTACCAGAATTTTTCCTATTGCATTTATTTCAAAATAATCGTTTCGATGATGCCAAAAAATCCACAATTTAAACAATCATTCATCATCGATTGATATTGCTTCATGTGAGCATGTGCTGGTTCTTGTGAGGTTGATGCAGCTCGAGTGCTGTCAGGGTGGGGGGTGG